TGGGGGTATTGGGGGCCGCTATGGGGGTGCTGGTGGTGTTACTAGGGGGGGGGGGGGGGGGGGGTATTGGGGGCCGCTATGGGGGTGCTGGTGGTGTTACTAGGGGATCTGGACCCCCCCCAAATTATTTTATTTTATTTATTTATTTATTTTTTTGTGGGGTGCCGACGACCCTCGACTGGTAGGTGCCGACCAGCCGATTGGTTGGCGGGTCGGCAGCCGACCAGTCAAGGGCCACCAACCGTCGGGGGGTGCAACACTGACTAAGAACATAAAACTCCGTCGCTCTGTGGACAGGTGTATGGCATTCACTCACCTCCAAGCCAGAACTGAAGCGACATGATGAAGTTTCGCGCATCCTGAGCTTTTCCACTAGGAAGGTACTTTAGGACCTTAGGCAGAGTTCGGATCAGCTTGAGCATCCCCTCTTCGAATCCAGATCCTGCCTCCTTTCTCCTCTTTCTCATGAATTGTGCGATGGCACTCTTGCTCTGTCCAAGCTGGGCCATGGAGAAAGTTCCAAGCTTGTTGAGCCGCATAACTTCCGGCATGGACGGGAAGACCAGAACGGCATCAAGCCTGTCCCTTTCGGCCTCGACTGCAGCTTTGACTTTCGTTGCCAGCTCCTCGATGAAGATGAGAGATCCAATGAAAATGTTGGCGTCGCTCAGGTCACGCTTAAACATCTCGTAATTGTCCTTATCCCGAAGTTCCTCCACTAGGTACCCCACAACCTCGACTGCGATATCGCTTCGGTTCTTGTCAATGTTTCGGACCGCTGCAGACAGGGCAGATTGGTACTGTGCCTCAAGGACCACGTACACCACCTTTACGACCGGTCGCCCTCTCGTGTTATCTGGGATTATCCTTCTGACGTCAGGACGGGTCTGTGTGAACAGACCATTTCCCATGATCATGGTTGTTGCCTGAGCAAAAAGACGCACACACACACACACACACACACACACACACACACACACACACACACACACACACACACACACAGAGCAAACAAACAAAACGTTGTTGTGGGTAAAGTCGACCACTACTCTCAAAGGGCATTGCTACCACTGGGCAAGGCGGTGTGTCCGAAGCCATCCGATTCGGTCGAATGGAGCATGGACAGACTGTCAACGTTCGGCTTCATGATGAGTCTCATTGCAAGTCCGATGAAACGGCCTGTCACAATCATATTGTTTTCTTCTTTCTTTTTCTTTTGTTTTCAATCAATCAAACAATCAATCATGCTTTTTTCATGCCGTTGTGTTTAGCAAACACAAGAACACAGATGCAAGGAATATGAGCGAGAGCGATAGACAGAAAACCAAGTTGTGAAGTCACGAAGTAGTCCAGATAGTCATGTACCAAGCAGAGAGCACAATGCACCAAGATACCATCGAAATAAGAGCAATACAATGAACTCGAGTGCCAATGCCGACGCTCTCTGGTCACACCAACACAGCCTACTGTCTGGCGCCCAGCGCCCAGCCTACACTACTCAGCCTATCTTTCCTATCTACGTTCATGCGACTGGATCACATCGCAGTCAGATCTGGCGCCCAGC